CCCGGATCATCCAACATCAGCAGCTCTGTAACCGACCACTAAAAAAACAGCAAACTCAGACAAACCCCAACGACATCTATAACAGCGAAACATGGCAGCAGCATGCCTCCTGGTACAGGGGCCAGGAGAATCGCATCATGCCTGCCGTGCTATAGCTAACAGGGAAGGAGAGAGTCGCTCCTGCGACATAACAGCACAGACAGGACAATAGAAGATAGGGCTGTAGCTGAGAAGACGAACTATAAATTTTCATGCTGTACAGGAGCAGGGTAGTTTGACAGGAGCATCATCACCGAAACATGACTTCCACGCTACCCTTCTGGGACTGGTCTCAGTCAGGACAATCAGGCTAGGTCATCAGGTTAACCCACAGGGACACTAGACAAACATGTGACATGGGGGCCGCAGATGCCAGGAACCAAGCTCAGACTAATGAGCCAAAAGGTAAATGGACACAACAGGCAAGTTTCCAGGTGAGGGTTGGGTTAATAGGAAATACGCGCTCTAGAAGAGTAGGGAGCGTGAACCACAGATGAAAGTAGAATAAGAGTATTTAGAATGGGGATTCCCCAAGGATCTAACACATCAATACCTTTTGAAGGCCAAATAGCTCCAATTTCTACGGTAGGCACCAGACTTGAATGAAAGAAAGCCCAAAAAAAAGCTACAAAAAACATGACAATCATCCCACAGGGGAAGATGGTGCTCCAGGATAGGAACTGGCATTGCCACAGTCCCGGCAAACACTACTCATAAGATGTATGCAAGGGACGCTGGACACGGTTTCCAGCAGGTATCGCTCCCCACCAATAGATGGAGCGACACGACAGGCAAAGCTTCGATTCCGGTGGTTCCCTTACCACCACTAGAAGAGAGGCATTGCAAGGAAGAAAAAAAGGTTGGCAGGACCCGCTTTAAGGTTTTCTTCAAGATTATGGGAGTGTTGTTGTTGTGGTGGTGGTTGTCCCTATTGTCATCTTTTTTTCCCTTTTTTCCCACTAGTCCACGTTGTTGTAGACACTGGCTACCAGGCATATGACAGGCCCCTCAGCACTTGACCATTCGATCACCCAAATGCATTGCCTAAACTGTCCCCTATGAACGACTCCGTTGTTGTGATCCATTTTTTACCCATTGTTTACCCAACATTTCCATGGTGCTAGATGTCTGGCTAGAAGAGTCAGTTGTTGGCCTATTGCCAAACAAAGGTTGTTATCTAATCACTTCCTCCCACCTATGAGTGAAAACCTGGTCTCGTAATTGCATTTTTTCTGATTTTCTTTTCCGATATTCCCACTAAAGGGAGCCAGTTCGGATCCTCGTCAAGGTCAAGCCATTGCTTTGGCACTGTCATCGTTAGATGACACAGGTTTGCCTAAGAAGGGGCCAGTATCTGTCCTCCAGGCAGAGAAGTGGATGAACATTGTCTATAGCCTCTAGGGCTGATCTCCTTCTTAACTGGTGTAGAGAATGGCCTCTGGATCAAAGATCAATCCGAGCAGCCATCTCCAGGACAGGGCGATGACACGAGTACATGCGTCGAGTACATAGACAGCCTTCCTTTCCACCTTCGAAAATCCAATGCTACTCTACATATCGCATACAGCTTTTCTGAGTCATTCCTCCATAGATAGGTAGGCTGCAGTACATATTTTCATCGGGCTCACGACACTCCTTTTTAATGGCCCAAAGGAAAAAACATGCCAGAGATCAATGACATGTCGGGGAGGCCATACTCAAACAATCACTTTCCAGCATGCATCTGACCACTGTTACGGCAAGGGGGAAACATTGCTGTTTTTTCTTTTTTTCTCCTTTAGTTTTTCGCTTCCTTTCCCTGCCAGCAAGGCAAAGCATATTCCTCTTGCTCAAAACGCCCTGGCTGAGGGCATCCAACCACTTTCACGGCCTAATCTTCGTTAGCTTTCGTTTTCTTTTCTTCTTTTTCTGTTTTTTGTGAGTCTGACAGTCGTGCTCCCCGTGTTCCTCGCTGAGGGCAGTACTCCAAAATGTGTATCCAACTGCAATCACGGCCAAAGCTTGTTTTGTCTTTTGGGTCTTTTTCTTTTATTCCTTTTTTGTGACTCTTAACAGTCTGGGTCCCCGTGTTCCTCGTCTTTCGAAGTGCTCTCACTGAGGGCAATACTCCAAAAAGAGTGTATCCAACTGCGACCACGGCCAACGCTTGTTTTGTTTTATCGGACATACGGATTTGACACGGGCCCAACAATTTGACGCGGACACTCCCGTGTACTGGTGGTTTAAACCACCAGTACCTCGCTCAGCTATCGGCCGCGGGCACTCACCGCAGCCCTGGGGGGGTCGGTCAAGGGAAGGCCCGGTAGCTGCGCGAAGGCCGGGCTCCGCTTCCCTACAAACGACACACTTAGAGAAAACAAAAAAAAAGAAAGAAGGGGAAAAAAAACAAATACACAAACGAACGGACAAAAAGTTGAAGTGACTCGGGAGAGAGAGAGAGAGAGAGGGGCGGCAAGTTCGCCATGACCCTCCGTGCAGGTCGCCGCCCCTCTCTCTCTCTCTCTCGTTGCACCGCCCCTCTCTCTCGTTGCGGCTGGCCTCATGGTACTGCACCATCGATAGGATGAGCAAAATCGAACGAATCTGGCGCTACAGCGTGGGAATATACACTGCCATACTTGTTTTTGCGTGTGTGAGAGAGAGAGGTGTGGCGAGTTCGCCGCGACCATCCGTGCAGGTTGCCACCTCTCTCTCTCTCTCGTCCCGGCTGGCCTCATGGTACTGCGCCCTCCATAGGATGAGCAAAATCGAATGAATCTGGCGCTATAGCGTGGGAATATACACTGCCATACTTGTTTTTGTCTGAGTGTGTGTGTGTGAGAGAGAGAGAGGGGTGGCGAGGTCGCCTCCTCTCTCTCTCTCTCTGAACCCATTCGTTTTTTCTTTTTTTTTCGTTCTTTTTTCCATTTTTTTCGTTCGTTTCACTCGAACGTTCGGGATGCCTGCGCCCGGTAGTCCGAGCCTCGGCACGGATCGGCGTACCTGTGCTAGGTTTTAACGTCTGTTCCAACAGACAGTGGAGCTCTCTAGAGCTAGGGCCTAGACAGGCCACTGTCGAATCAAAAAACAGCACGAGTGCATCTTCCCTCAGAGAACGGCAAGATGCATCCGTTACTTTTAAATAGCGACGGATGGAACTTACCACTTTCTGCGGAAAATGCATTCGTTCTTTTCTCGTTGCGACAATGGTGTGTCATTGTCCTAAATCTCATTCGTCACAAAGCTGAAAAGATGACCCTTGAATCTTTGTTCTAATAAATCCCAAAATTTTTAATTAAATTTGGAATTCGAAACGAGTAAATTGATTTAAAAAAGCAAATAAATAAACAATAAAAACATTGTTTACCTTCATCCTTTTACTTTCTTTTCTCTCTTTGAAAATGTAGAAAAAATCAAATGGTGTTTAGTGACTATATTGTACGCATGATTCACATCAGGGTATCCACATAATCTACATCCACTTGGGTTGTCTTCACGCCTTCGACGCCAGGAGGAAAAGCCCCCCGAATAGAAAGCCTTGTCATTAGAGGCGCATCTGGCACGACTTTCATTCTAGATGCAGCCATCACGGCCGGGCGTTCCATCCGGCTATAACGTGGGGTGTTCACTGATGCACACCACCATCCAACGCGCTTCGATCCTGGACCGCCGCGAAAGCAGGCGTTAGTACTTCGTCGAAATCGGGGACTAAAGCGTTGCTTCACTGACTGCCCCTAGGAAGGCTCTATGATCGACCATGTCACAAAGGCAACTGCCAAATGAGATCAAGTACTCGATTGCGCCAATGGGTGTGGTTCCAAAAGATACGGCCATGCTCTGGGGGCCACGTCGACGTCCACAGATTAGCTACCACCATCATCGCCGTTATGATCAATCGATCATGTTCGCTCTGGGGCTCGCCGGACAACTCGCCAAACGCCAACGTTTTGAACGTAGAAGAGCTAAGCTCTGGTCTAGATACATTCGAAATGTTGGCATTGTGCAATTGGTGCGGCAAGGCCCTCTTCCTCCACAGTTCACAACCCATCTACAGGGCAAGTATATACGTAGTGCGCGCACTACAGAGAACGGGAGACTAGCCCACTGATTGACCGACAACCGAATGGCATCACGAAGCCACACCAGCAGGCGAAACGCGCGAGCGATCTCCCCTAAATACTCCCACGACACGCGGACTTTTTGCCTTCTTTATCTGTCAAATCGTGAAAAGCACTCATTAGCGAGATCGCAATTTTTTACTCACATCAAAGGACACCGCCCAGAATCACAAATGACAACCGGCTGGCCATTCCTGTCCCCTCCTGAACACACCATACCCTCTAACAAAAGCACCCAGAGATAGCTATACCGGTCCGACGAACTAATGGTTAAGTTCCTGCGTCCGACGGAAGACTGACTCTAGGCTACGTGGGGCTCTCACGTGTGCCTAGCACCTAAATTTCAGAGCTGGACGCAAAATCGCCATGCGCTCGTTCCCTTGCGTAAAGATGAGCAGCAGCAGCACATCAAGCAGCTCAGACAATCGGCAAGTTCGAGGCTCGATCGCTACCAGTCAATGTAGGCTTGGAAACAAACCGTAATATACACAGCAAACGCAACAGCCGCGTAGCCAACAACCCTCTCACATTTCCCTTACATTTAACGCAACAGCGACTCAGCGCCCCATGACCTCACTTCGGAGTACATTTTCTTCATTCAGGCAAAATACAATGAATACCTGAACAGACCGAAGCTACAAGAATTACACTACACCGGGTCACTACTCTCACCACCAAACGACCGTCTTTTCATGAAAAAAAACGGACGGGTTGACTGTTTCGACAACATCCAGACAGCTGTCAACCGAGAACGCTTTCCCGAAAACACATTTTTAAACAGGAGCAGGCAACAGATGACGGTACAAACCAACAGCGTTACCTTTTTACGCAAGCCTGGCGTAACCCGTCACGGACTAACGCAGTGCAGGAAGACGTGAATAAACTCGCTAGTTCGTCGCACGCTCAATCAACGCCAGGGGAAGCAGACCTAAACAGCCGTTAGAAAAAAAATAGAAATCAAAGAAAACGCGTGAAGCTAATGAAGAGAGGAAAAGGGAAAAATGGGAAGAGAAGGCTACCCCCGTGTCCACAACACAAAACAAAAATTGTTAACCCAAAGAACGAATGAAGTAGTCCGGAATTAAGCTCCGAGGAAGACCAACTTCAAAAGCACAACTCGCACAACAAATATTTACGGATCGGGAACCTTTTCAAACAGACAGACGAACAATAACAAAACAAAACATGAAAGAGAGAGTAGTCCTCGCAGAAGAAGCACATGACGAAGGAAACGCTGTGTGCAGAAGACGAGTCGGGTTGAACGGCGAAAGAGCATCACAACAGAGATCTATTCGGAATCACCGATCGCTCCACTCAGGACACTTTGTACTTGGCCCTCATAATCCTCCCGATGGAATCAGAGTGTTAGACTCGTCCGAATGCGCCAAGCGCAGAAATTCTCCAAATGAATTCAGAATGTCTAGTGGGGGGAGGCCTTAAGACTACTTCCACATTCGAGTTCGTTACATGATTCTTCATCCCGTCATGTGAGATGCAGAAAGAAAGAAAGAAGTGGAGAGACGGATAAGAGGGAACAAGTCAGAGCAACGGGGAGACAATGGAGAAACCGAAACGCAGAAAACAAAACAAGCAGAGGAAGAACACAGCAAAACACGGGAAACTGGACAAGGAGAAGGAAATTTGAGCAAGAGTACGAAGAACATGGGTAAGTTGTACAAAAGAAAAGCAGGGAAACAGAAACCCTAAAACGGACGGATTGGGGAAGCGCACCAGGGACTAGGAAAAACAAAACAAAACATGGAAAACTGGACGAGGAGAAGAGAATGTGAGCAAAAGGACGAAGAACATGGCCAAATTGTACAAAATAAAAGGGGAAACAGAAACCCTAAAGTGGACGGAATGGGGAAACGCACCAGGGACTCAGAACAAGGCGAAGAAAACAGAATCAACGGAACATTTATTCAAAATCAAACCCAGGAAGTCGGTCGACCAAGGCACCGCTTGGACTACGCCACAAAAGGAAACGCGAGAGAAGGGAGAAACTCGACATGCGACCGAAGGGGATGCAGGGAACGAGTAAAAACACAACAGAGGACACCGCCATAAGAGTAGCGGAGATCGACGCTGGGTGATAAGGAACAAAAGGGGAAATAAATGCGAGTGCGATTGCGATTGCGAACGATAGACGAGAACACAGCCCGGCTAAAATGAAAGGTAAAAGGCGCTATGCTGGGAGAGCACGCAAAGGAGAAATACGATTGACGAAAGGGGAGAGCGGAGGTCGACGGAAAACGAGGGAAGGCAAGGGGGAAGCGAGGGAGAACGAAGCGACACCGCACGTAACCGGCTATTGTAGAACTCAAAGCGGATACGTCGTAAGCGGATTAGGGAACGATCGGCCAAACGGGAAGCAACCCAGAGGAATAGTGCAAGTGCGGGGTACGCAGAGCAGCAGTCGACGTCGTGCTAGCAGAAGAGATATCGAGGGGGGAAACGAGGGGGAAAAAGAAACGAAGTAACAGAGGATCTCTTTATACACACAGGCGGAGGCCGCAGCAAGATGACGGAACGATAGACAGGAAGACCAGGAAGAGCAAGGGAAGGAACGAGCAGGGAAGAGAGGAATGAGTGGGAGAGGGAGACGGGCAAGGGGCAGTGAAAAGTAACGGAAAGAAAGTCGGGAGAGAAATGAGCAGGGAGGGGGAAGAAAGAACAGGGAGGTGGGAGAAACGAGCGGGGAGGGAGGAGACGAGCAGGGAAGGGAGAGAAAAAAGCAGGGAGGAGGGAGAAAAAAGCAGAGAGGGGGAGAAAGAGCGCAGGGAAGGAGGAGATGAGCGGGGAGGGTGAAGAGCAGGAGGGAGACCAGCATTGAGGGGGGAGAGGAACACGAGGGAAAGACGAGCAGGTGGCGGGAAAAAGCAGCGAGGGAGGAGAAGAACAGGGAGGAGAAAAAGCAGAGGGGGGCGAAGAAAGCATGGAGGGGGTAGAGAAAAGATCGAGTGGAGAGAAAACGACTATTGGGTGGGGAGAGGAAGTGGAAGGGCAGGGGAAGAAAAAAACGGAGAGGGAAAGGGCAGGGGAGGGGGGAAGAGCATGCAGGGAGAACACAACAAAACGGAGAGAGAAAGGGCATGGAGTGAGAGAAGCGCATGCAGGGAGAGCAGGAAGGGGGGGGGAGAACAGCATCGGGACGGGAAAGAACATAGAAGAGTGAGCAGAGGCCTGTAAGTAGCAGGGAGGAAGAAGCAGGGGAGGAGGGAGCGGGGGGAGAAAGGAGCAGGGGAAGAATGGAGCAGGGGAGAAA